TTGGAATATGCCGATGAACGCAAGCTTCACATCCGAACCCCCTCCGGATCTCGCGTCCAGTCAAAATGGTGATACTGCACAGTGATGCTGTTATCTTGCCTTCCCCGCATGCAAGTCGCAATGGCGCGAGCCAAAGGATGAATGGCTTCAGTAATCGCCATATCACGTCGATTGACGCGATTGACTCTTAGAATACCAGACTCGGTACATACCATATTAAAGCAGGCCCAATGAACCAGCCATGATACGCGACGGATCAAACATTTGATGGAACTTGTCGATTTGATTACCCAGAAGCAAGAAAGAAAAAAGAACCATCACTTACAATGTCTACAACCACTACAACCGAAACTCACGCTGAGACGGCACCCGTCAAGCTGACCTTGGCATACGATGATAAGATCCACGATCAGGTATGCCATTAATACATCACTTGATTTGTATCAAGGTAACAAGATTGACAATGACATTAGTACAAATACGCCCAATACTTGCCGGTGTACGACGAAAAGACATCCTTTCCCCCGCTACAGCCATTCGAGTTCAACGACCGCGGTCTCGTAGCGAACAAGGAGAAGCTAAATCTCCTTCCGAGGAACAACAAAGAGATCAAGGCCACGAAGCTGACACCAGTCATTGGCACCGAGATTCGAGGCTTGCAACTATCTCAGCTAAACGACAGACAGAGAGACGAGCTTGCACTTCTCATCGCGGAGCGCGGCGTCGTCGTGTTCCGAGACCAAGACTTCAAGGACATCAGCATCGAGAAGCAAAAGAAATTCGGGAAATATTTTGGTCCTCTCCACATCCACGTTCGTGGCCATCTCACTCTGCCATTTCGGCAAAGAGTTTGCTGACAAGTTTCCAGCCCGTCGGCGCGCATGTCAAGGGCCATCTCGAGCTGCACAACATCTACCTGGGTCCGGACAATGAGTATCGCAACCGGAGCAAGAGCAACAAACTCTCGACCATCGGGTACCACTCAGACGTGTCGTATGAGCACCAATCACCGGGCGTCACGATCCTTACACTTCTCTCTGTACCTGAGACGGGCGGCGACACGGCGTGGGTTTCTCAGACGGCGGCGTATGCGCGATTGTCGAGGCCGATACAAGCTCTTCTCGAGGGGTTGAGAGCAGAACACAGCGGCTTTACCCAAGCCGACAACGGTCGTCGAGATGGCAAATTTGTGCGGAGGGAGCCGGTCAAGTCGGAGCATCCCATTGTTCGGATTCATCCCGTATGTAATGTCGCCATGACTTGTAGCTCGCGATCAAGTCCGTCCCGCTAATGTCTTCCGTGTCGCAGGCAACTGGCCAAAAGGCGCTGTTCATCAATCCAGGCTTCACAAAGAGGATTGTCGGCCTTCGAGATGAGGAATCAGATGCGCTGCTGAAGCTCCTGTTTAAGGTTTGTGATACCAGCATTCGGGTTTCAGATCCCTATTGACAAAAAGAAACAGCATATCAACAACGGCCAGGACTTCCAAGTCCGCGTCAAGTGGGAAGAGGGAACTGTCGCTCTCTGGGATAACAGAGTGACGGCGCACACTGCCATCTCGGACTACAACGTCCACAACCCACAGGAAGGGCTGCGACACGGCTTTCGGATCACCACTTTGGCTGATAAGCCGACGGGGGTCAATGGCTTAGAGTCCACGTGGTAGGTCGCATAACAGCATTCGGTCCGTTCAGCTCTGATCACGTAACGCTTGGGTCTGCAATGTGGACGCGTCTGAAGGTGCCGATGTGCTATGTCGGCGACATTGAAATTTTATCGGGGATCGTCGGGACTGGTCGGGACCGCAGGGAGAGCCATGGGAGCTCGGAAGTTGAAACAGGAAGAATGATTATTGCGGGAGGAAGCACGGCGGGCCCAGCGTTCCCGCGACCATGACCAAGGACGCCCTGGCAGTCCAGTGACAGAGTAACGCCTGGGGGATTTACGGAGAAGCCGGAACCGTGCAGACCATCGTGAGGTGCAATGATACATCCGTATAATAGGTGCGCATAGCAATGCAGAGAGATACCGTAGTGCGACCGAGAAAAGTGGACGGCGCCAATTACCAAAAAAAAAAAAAAAAAAGTCTGTATGGCTGTAACAGTCGGATGGATCGTAATGGAGATGAACTGGCGCAACTGAATGGCGAATGTTGGGGCTAGGCACGTGGCTGATCCGACAATCAGTCACTTAGGGCGGAGGGATCGTCCCCTGATGGTCGAGTTTTGATTCCCAATCGAGATCCAGTTTTTTCTCGTACAGGCTGGAAAGGTGTTTGTTCTCTGGAAAGAAGTGACGCGTGATAACAGTGGAGATTGGGCATCGTCGATATGTCGCGAAGTTAACAGTACTGGGAAGTATGGTCCGTGGCGGTTCTGGTGAGTGCGTAACTGACGAAAATAACTGTGGAGACGATTGAGCCGAGGCACGATACTTATCTTCTTAGGAATCGCCGAACCCCATGAGAGCCTCATGACCTCGTCTTACGACCTCTCTTACGAGACCGGAGAAATCAAAGAAAATTCGAGACTCGGACAGGTGTACGGGGGAAGACGGGGCTCGATGGTGATGTGGTTGGCCGTTGGGGGCGACGGCGTCGTGGCGGAGGCCGAAACAATGGGGACGGTGCGAGACCCCTTTGATTCGCATCTCGTTCCCCGGAAGGGGCCCCAAATGATCCATTGAAGAGAGAAAAGAACACCACAGATCTGGGAGCCCCGAGGGGAAGATGGCGTAGGTTGCGTGGTTCGGGTGGGTGGGATGGAGGATGGGGAGAATTGGCGTCGGTCCTCCCTCGGACGGCGACCGACAGACCGGTTAGACCTGTAGAATAAGGCAAGAGACTCTGAGTTTTCTGGAGCTGGGGAAAGAAAAGAGAGACCGTGACACGCTGCCGCACGCAGCAGAAAGGGCAAAAGACTGGAGATTTCTGGAGAATATTTGGGGCTTTGCTGGAGACTCTGGAGACATCTGGAGGTTGAGGGGAGAAAAGGGCCGAAAGAGAGCAACGACGGCTCTGAAGAACGGAAAGCCGGAGATGGGCCGTGAAGGTGTCACGGCGATATCTTTTTCCAACATCTCTGGGTTCCTTCCATTCTTTTTTCTTCTTTCCGTGTGTTTTGAATAACGACGTCATCTGATGTATGGTGTTGGCGGGGCTGAATTGGATTGATACGTACTGGTTTTCATGAGGAAGGAACTTAGGAGGATGTGAGGCAGGGGTTGGGGATTGAGGCAAGTGCTGTGGTTCAATCAAGATTTCTTGGGCCCCCGTTCGGCAGAGCTTGTTTGGCTGTGTCTCTTATCATCCAAGACTTTTACCGAGACTCGAGGAAGCGGCTCTCCTGCCCTTCCATGGCTTCCATTTGTGCCTTCACTTGGCAAGCACTACGCAGTAAACCATTTCGGGTTCGAGTTGCCAGGGAAAGAAGGGCCAAAGGGACCATATGCATTCGGCAAGAAGGTAGCGATCGGGACCTGCCTCGAGAACCTGCCTGGGATGACTGGCCCCTTGGCACGAGATCCGATCCACCCGGTCGGGAAGCAGCTTGGCGATGATTGGCAACGCGACTGCATTTCGTGTCGTCCCGCTTGTCATTGTGCCTTCTCACTGGTGCGCAGTTGGCAGTGACGTGGGCAGCAATTCCGGCAGCGCCTGCCGTCCCTCTGCCGCGGCACCATTCCTTCGTCTGTCCAGGGACTCACCTGATGTATCTTTCCACACAAGATTCGCTGGCCGGATACATTCCGTATCATATCACGATGGCCTCATCTCATCGCCCCTCTTTCTACTTGTGCACTGTGTACCTCAATTGGATGAGAAGGAACATTCGGACAGAAGAGAAGAGTCACGTGTGTTGCGTGTTGTGAGTTGCTCACCTCACCACGACATATCACCAAGCTCCATATCAAAGAAGTCTGTCGTTAACCATATGTTCATCCGCAGTTTATCAAACACAAAGTTGCTCACTTCTCAAATCCCAAGTCCGCAATCCGAATATGCCGTGAAAGAATCTCCAGAGAACTTGACCACCTGCTCGTGTAGTGTACCCCGGCCCCGGTTCCTCCGGCACACCCTTGCACCTTACTTGCCTTCTCTTAGTGTACCGGTACCGATACTTGTACAAAAACGGCTTTCTTTGGTACCACACACCAAGTTTATGCGCAAAAGATACTTTGCATTGTAAAACGGCCTTGAGCGGATCCAGCATCTTTACATCATCTCACGCCCCCCCTGGGTTTCCCACAAAACGCACCTCGCCCATCAACGTCATCCAGCCGTTGCTCAATCTCACGATTTTTTTCCACGTCGTGCCAGGGAACAATCGACAGACCATGTTATCCCCGGCCAACGCTGTAAGTTCTTTCTGCCTGGTCTGTTTCCACAATTCCCAAGAATCCCATGATTCTCATCCCCAGAGCTGCATTGGTAATCTGGTGTACACTGACACTACACAGAAGTATTGGACCAGGCCTCCATAGTTCGCGCCCACACACCCAATGACATCCGCCAAATCTCCATCTTCGTCCCCTCGGCTTCCTTCTCGTCTCTGAAGTCTCTGCCTGACACCAGAAAAAGATGGGGAACGGGCCGATTCCTTCAACCTGGAGACCCCGGGCCCCGGACGGCAACACCTCGGTGGCATACGGTGGCACCGCCGTCCGTCCCAAGTCATCGGGCACACTCTCTGGAGTGTGGTCTCTCTCGCACATTGACTGACTCCAAGGCCTCGGTCCTCTCTTGACGTCACGCCCCTAGCCGACTGAGACTGGACGCCCCCAACTCTGCCCACCCATTCAGCAGCATAAGCGTACTGCGCTTGCGAGCGGCTCTCAATCCTCGTCTCGTCTGTCGATCGACGAAACATTCATATAATACTGCCCGCCATGTCCTCCTCACACACGCTTCTTTCTGTCTCGGACGAACCATCATTGGCACATCTCTTCATCATCTTCATCTAACATCACTACCCACAACACCACACAAATCGTCGCCCAACATGGGGTTCTCGACGATTGAGTTCGACAAGTACAATCCTGCCTCTGAGAAGGCAAGCGATGCCCGTCAGGACCTCGCCCATCTCGACTACTCCCCGCTGAAGCGTATTTCGGGGCGATCATGGGCCATGGGTATCCTCATCTCCATGGGTGGCATGGTCTTTGGCTATGACACGGGTCAGATCTCCGGATTCCTGGAGATGCCCGACTTCCTCGACCGGTTCGGCGAGCACAAGGCCGACGGCTCCATCAAATTCAGCAACGTCCGCTCCGGTCTGATCGTCGGTCTCCTCTCCATCGGTACCCTCATCGGTGCCTTGTGCGCCGCCCCCATCGCCGACAAGTTTGGTCGCCGGTACTCCATTTCCTTCTGGTGCCTCATCACTTCCATCGGTTTCGTCATCCAAATTGCCGCTGAAAGAGCATGGGAACAAATCATGGTTGGCCGCTTGGTCGCTGGCTTCGGTGTCGGTGCTCTCAGTCTCATTGTTCCCATGTTCCAGGCCGAGACCGCACCGCCATGGATTCGCGGTGCTCTCGTTTGTGCCTACCAGCTTTTTATCACTCTCGGCATTTTCCTCGCCGCGTGCTTGTAAGTGCACAGCCAACGCAGCATTCCTGAGAGAGACAACTAACAGAGATATAGCAACTATGGCACTGTCACGCATCTCGAAAACAGTTCAGGCTCTTGGCGCATCGTCATTGGTCTTGGTTGGCTCTGGACCATCATCCTCGGCGTTGGCATTCTTGCCTTCCCCGAAACTCCCCGTTATGACTACCGCATGGGCAACATTGAGCGTGCCAAGAATACCCTTTGCCGAGTTTACGGCGCTCCCGAGAACCACTACAGCATTCACATCCAACTCGAGGAGATTGAGAGCAAGCTTCGGGCTGAATCGCAGATCAAGGGCAATGCCGTCCAGGAGTTCTCTGGCATGTTCAAGGCCCCTAAAATGGCCCAGCGTATTGCCTTGGGTTGCGGACTGCAAATGCTCCAGCAACTCACCGGTGCCAATTACTTCTTTTACTACGGTGAGTCCTCTTATCCCATGTCGTTTCCCTGAATTATGGAGTCTAATTTGCCTCCAGGAACCACCATCTTTTCGTCTGTCAACATCAACTCCTTCATCACCCAGATCATCCTGAACGCTATCAACTTTGGAACCACCTTTATCGGTCTTTACATTGTTGAACACTATGGCAGACGCAAGTCGCTTATGGTTGGCTCCGGCTGGATGTTTATTTGCTTCTTGATCTTTGCCTCCGTCGGTCACTTCAGCTTGGATCGCGAGAACCCTCAAAATACTGTCGGCCCCGGCATCGTGCTTATCGTTTTCGCTTCTCTCTTCATTCTGGGCTTTGCTACCACCTGGGGACCTATGGTAAGTCATCAAGCGTCCGCACCATTCTCTCCTCAGTCGTGTGCTAACTTCTTCAAGATCTGGACCATCCAAGCCGAACTCTTCCCCTCGAGATACCGCGCCAAGGCCATGTCCCTCTCCACCGCCAGCAACTGGATCTGGAACTTCTTCATCGGCTTCTTCTCTCCCTTCATTACTGGCGCCATTGACTTCCGATACGGTTACGTCTTTGCCGGATGCAACCTGGTTGCTGGCTTCGTTGTCTACTTCTTCGTCATCGAGGGTCAGGGACGCACATTGGAGGAAATTGACACCATGTACTTGGAGGGCGTCAAGCCGTGGAAGAGCACCCAATGGGTACCTCCCTCTGCTGAGGAGATGCACCGCATCCGCCAGAAGGCTGGAACAGACCTTGATGCCAGCGTCAGCGACGGTGGCGTGCAGAGTGAGAAGGGAGAAGGCCTGCAGCCCAAGAGCGCCGTCGACGGAACCTCTCACCAGGAGAGAGTCTAATGCGTGGAGGAATATGATTCCAACCAAGTCGATCATGATACAGCTACAACATGGTTGGCGAACATGAGGGGTCGTCGGATCTAATCTTTACATCTAATGAATTTGCATGGCACGGCGTTGAGGCATCGGAAGCGGAGAATACCGCACACATTATGTTATTTACTGCAATATACCAGAATCAAATCAATTTAACCAAGAATATCTTAATTGCATGTCCCAAACTCTAACGTGACTTTCGTAGTCCAAAGATAACGCCTCACCGCCAAGCATTGCAAATGCCCATCACACACTATGGCTCGTTCACACGGCAAACTGAACCCGCTTCCAACGTCACCATGCTCCAAACATTTGAATCCTTCTGGACTGGCATGCTCCCCCGCGACAAATCCTACCTGCGGGGTCTGATGCACACCCAACCAGTGCCCGTCATTGGAGCCAACACACCAAACCACACACCACACACACCTGTCGAGCGAGATCCGACCGAACGGCTCTTTATCACTGATCGACAATGGAACATGCATGTATGCTGTGGAGATGAATCATGGATATTTCATAAACTACTCCAAGTCACCGCCGCAATCCGATTTTCTTCGTACTGCGTACACGGCGTCTGGGACATCTCGGTCAGAGTTTCGACGTCAATTGGATCTCGCAGCGGGAGAATCTCGATCGCCTCTACCCTGACTGACTCCAACTTCACCCTCCCGCAAGACCTACCTGGCGGTACGCAAGGCACTCGCAACCGCAACGAGGGACGCGGCGCAACATCCGGTATGAATTAGAGGATAATTGCGAACTAAAACCCCCCGATCCCAAAGTATCCAATTCGGAACTGCCTATTCGCAAGGAAAGCAAGACTTTATGCGGGTTGAGGAACGCACACCGCTTTACCGTCCCTCGATGCCACTCACTCACCGACACGGTCAAGCACAGCCGCACATGAAAGTTTCCACATCGCAGCAATCGGCAGGCTCACGTCTCTCTTGAAGAAAGAAACTATAAAAACGGACCCGACTCATTCGACTCGAATTAACAAACCCGCGTAAGGCAGGGAAGAGTCCTATCATTGCGTAATGTGGAAAAGAAAGGGAGAGAGCAAACGGGCTCCTCCTCCTCCGGAAGACGGCCAAGGCTCCACATCCGCTTCCGCATCCGGAATCGCCGCAAACCCGGGATCCGCTCTACCCGCCGCCTCGGCCCCTCCCTTGTCCCACGGTACCGCGCTCTCCGATCCGGATCTTTCCGTCCCAGCCGGCATCGCCATGGGTATCAATCTTGCCCTCCCGCCTGAAACCCCGATTCCATCATCCTTCCCGACCCAAGACGCATGTCTAGCGCACCTTCGCCTCTTAACAGCCTTCAACCGCCTCAAGACGGAAACAGGGTACCGCGATGGTCTCTGGGATATTTGGGATGCGCGGGCCGGTGCCACCATTACTCCCATGAAACACACCGAAACACGGAATTGCGATGGTGACAGCAGCGGCACGAAGAGCGAAGAACACAACCACAAGACCACCAAGAGAGCGCCAATGGATCCGGACACTGGAACCAAACCTGAACTCGACCTGGATATCTTAATCAGACTCCGCGAAAAGAGGTGGGCAATCTACCTCGGCCGCGCGGTAGACCGCTACGCAGCATGGTGGCGGAGTTTCGGCCCAGACATGCTCCTCGAGAGCGACATGCTCGTCATCGGGTCCAAACCTAGTCAGTCGTTATCCTCGTCTAATGGAGGAGATCCAGCCGAGTGTCAAAGCAAGGACCAAGGCGAAGCCGAGCATGAGACTGGGGAGAGTAGACAGCATCGGAACCGGGCCCGTTATGAAGGGTTCCCCGAGTCGAAACCGATGGTTTGGCGCGAGGAGATGCTGCCACCTCTAGATGTGCTACTCGTTTGGCACGCGCATATGCTCAACCCGAGACTCTACCTTGAGGTCAATAGACCCCCTTGTCGCTATCACAATCATCGTCCAAATACTGACACTCTCAAAGGACTGCCTCCGCTACGGTCACAGCTCCCTCTGGGCAGCAGGAATCCCCTGGTCCATTGTCAACGCTGCCATCATCAGCCCAAGTTTTGAATACGTCGTCTCGGACGCGTGTAAAGCACATTGGGAAGCTGACACGAACCTCGCCTGGTACAACGAAGACGATCCTGACGCCAAAGATGTACCGTGCCCTGCGTGTTCTACCTTGGCTTCCATCCCGTGGACGACGTGTGGAGTGTCGCGGAGCGATTCGAGTGCAAAGTGAGTTTTGTCCCTTTCAGCAGTCCACTCCAGACTTTTCTACCTCGTAGCTCTAGCATCCCGCTATTATGGATGCCAGATATCTGACAATGCTTCCAAAGACAACTCGACATCGTAGGCCAAGGCCTCGCCGACGGGCGACTAGCCCACGCCTGCCCCTCGTGCGGACTCATGATGACCCACGAATCTCTTCGGGCAGCAAAACTTCGCGACGACATTCAGGCTTCGATACAATCCAACCACGCCATGCCGGGAACAACCCTCGACCTCGATACAGGTCTACCGAATCCTTTACAATACGGCCCAGATGATACGTCAGGGGAATGCCCAGACCGGCTCTTCCCCACCCGCCTGGCCCGTCGCGGGCTCTCGGAACACATCCTCGAGATGTTCAAGCCCAGAAACAAAACTGCCCCGAGCATTATGGCCGTGCGAGATGCCATGGAAGAGAGCTTTACAGGTAAATTTGCAGATCCCAAGAACTTACGTGAGGTGATGAGTCGGCCCGGCCAAGAAAATGTGACGGCCTTCCGTCTGAGTCTAGACGCAAAACGGCAGACGAGAAAGATGATGTCGCGTTACTGGGAGAACTCGTCGCCTTTCTCCATTGACCTCGTAGGATGTGTGATGCGCCAAGCAACCTTTACTGAAAAGATGTGCAAGGTGAGGGCTTCCTCTCTTCACATACTGAGCTGGCCAGGTGACTGATCTTGGCAGCTCAACTGGTTGCACTTTCCTACAGCGCGGGATATCATGGGAAAACTTTTAGAAAAGTATGCCCGATTCGTCGAGATCATCGCTATTGCCTCGTCCACAGAGGACAAAGTTGCCGTCCCGACACTTGACGTCGACCTCGCGTGGCACACGCACCAGCTCTCTCCCCAGTCCTATTTTGTCTTCACACTCGCAAAGACGAGGGCCTTTGTAGATCACAATGACAAAGTTGACGAGGATCGACTAAGCACAGCCTTTGAGTGGACAAGTAAGACATACCAGGAAAAGTACGGCGAGATCTACTCGGAGTGCAAATGCTGGTACTGCGAAAGTGAGTGTCCCTATCAGTACCACCACCCCAGAGCACTGTCATCTTGATCTCTCCAGCCCGAGGGGGAAGTCGTGATATCGCATGTTCTCGCTGCTCGGCGCACTCCGATGGTGATAGCTACAATGAAATTGGCCGTGATTACTGACTGCAGATGTGTTATCTGTAGCCGTCAGGGTGATGGCCTTGCCCACGACCAAGATGTTCGGAATAGGCAAGGAGGAAAAGCGTAAGGCATCTTGCAACCACTACACTTCCCCGCGCCCCCATGTGTGCCTGTGTTACTTTTAGAATCAGCCACACTTACTTACCAAACCCCTGCTGAGCGTACATGTACCTTAGTTCTCGAAGCATGGCATGCAGCCTCCAAGGCCAACAATATGCCCATGCCGCCAGCCGCCGAGTCTGCGCATATCTCGTCGCATCCGGCGGTCCACACCAACGAGACGACAGCGCAGCGGACAGCGACACGTCCATTGCGTTCTGGGTTCAGGAATAGACTGGAAGAAGCGCATTCCAAGGCGCGCAAGAGGGCAAGCGAGACTTTCAAGGTGGACTCTGGCAAGCGCATGGGACCTCGCGGTGAAGATAAGACGTTATTCTGGGGGAAAGATATCGCCGTGGACGGACCTTGGGCATCGGTCGTGGCCGCCGTGACGACGAGCACCCTGTATCCCGCTGGGCCAGGCTTCGCGAACATGGGCGCCGGAGCTGTAGGCAGCTGCGCAACGGGAACGTGTGGAGGAGCTACTGGCTGCGGCTCCGAGCTGCTGGGCATGTGCTCGGCAGGGTGTGTCGGGGTGAGTGGTCCTTCTTCGTTTGGTCAAGCTTATTACGTTCCGCGGGATATCTCCCTCCCCTGCAATCTTCTTATCGCTGCCGAGGCTTGAAGTTGCCCTGAATCTTGACTGATATCCAAGTGACGGCGACAGAGTGCCTGGTTTGGCGGAAAGGCCGGATGTACAGGTATGGGTGAAGGCGGATTTGACTTCTGAGAGACAATCAAACAGTCAGGTTGTCGATAAGACACAGAGGCTAGGCGGGGGATAGCAGTCGGCCGAGATATTCTCCATGATAAAGAATGGCGTGTGTGTGAAGTTGCAACTCGGTGCCGCTTAAGCTTATTCAGATGCAAGGTCCGATCGGAGGTCGGGATGTGGGCTCTTTTGCGTCTTGCCATCCTGGGGAGGTCCGCCTCGCACGAGTAATGGGATTCTGAGAACGCCAGCCTATGGGGACGGGCAACGCTACTTCGAGGTATGGCGGGAAACTATGTTTAATGGCCAAGCAGCGAATCCGAGCCCATGTTGTACACCGCTTTGGGATGACGATCGCTATCAGCGCTTGCGCAGGCCTGCTTGGCTGTCGTAAATGTAGTCCAACCAGCGGTCGAGATGGCTTCTCCAGGTTTGCGGCGTTGCGGTGTCGAGTGGTGATCCGGATCTACCCTCCCGTCGACCTGCCTCTATTCGTCTGGCGTGAGACATTAGGCTTCGTTGTTTGTGTGCTGCACGTCTGCGAGCCTGCAGCTCGTGGGTTGCCTCGTTTCGATTCTCGAGACCCTGAGAGGTTGCTATCACGAGCGTCACCTCCAAGGGCAGGCTTCCTCATGAAGTCTTGACCACGCATCATCGGCAGCTGGCCCCCAAACAGGAAGGTTCGTGAAAGACCCCGTGCGCTATTGTTGAAGGAGCCGGGACATGGAGGGGTTGACGTGCAGCGGACAGGACCAAGATGGAAGACAGATTGACAGAACGACCAGGATTTCGCAGCCAAGCCATGTCGCTTTTCGCAGGTGATTGACAGGGACCGATAAGATAACGTGCCGGTGCCGGGAGACGTGAGTGGCTGGTTCTCGACTCTCGTGAGCTTGGCGTTAAGGTTGGGAAAGTTGGGACGGACCAGGCTTAAGGTTGACGAGAGAGCGGGAGCCGTAGCGCGCCGTGCATCGGCACTCAGAGACTGGGAAGTTGAGCAAACGTTTAGATTACCCCGCCAATAACACAAGAGATAAAGGCACACGGAGCTGTCAGCTCGCCCACAGAACCCTGTGGTCCCCCCTGCGAAAGCCCTATGAGACGGTCGCTTTGGGTCGTACTGTGGCCGGACAGAGTGCCCCTTTTCAGAACAGCGCGCCGTTTCATCGACTCAATGCCGCACCGTCGGCGGGTTCCTGGAGGGTCAGGCTGGAGATTAAGACATCAGGTAGACAATCGTGGGGTCGGACGGCGTGGTGACTGGCTCGACGGAGCTGCAAACGACATGAAGGTGGGGTTCGACGTTGTACAAGCGAGGGAAACGCAGTGTTGGGAACTCTCGCGACCCGCCGACGAGGGAGTCCTTTTGACGACAAACGAGATAAACCGCAAGGACGTCGACGGAGGATATAAATCACGGCAGATCTCCCGCTCTCAGTTTGTTGTTTCTGCTTCATCGTCAGTGCCAAGCCACCCGTTCACCACATCACTCCAGCCTCCATCCCAGTCCTGCCTTCTCACCCGGTCTCATCCATCCGCCCTTTCGCCACCGTCACAATGAAGGTCACTGCTGCTTTGTTCATGATCGCCGGCGCGGCCGTTGCCTCTCCCGTCCCCGCCCCGAACCCCGTCGCCGAGCCCCTGCCGATGCCCACCCCCGTAAGTCCGAATTTCTTGTGGCTGGCCGTTGCCGAAGCCGTTTCTGACATTTTGCATACAGCCTGGCATCCCCACCGCCGCTTCGGCCAAGACCCAGCTCGCTGCTCTGACCGTTGCCGCCTGGACCAACACCGGCACCTACGACCGTGACCTGTTCCCCACCTGGGACACCATCTCCGGCACCTGCAACACCCGCGAGACTGTGCTCCAGCGTGATGGCACCAACGTCGTTGTCAACTCTGCCTGCTCCGCGACCAGCGGTACCTGGAAGAGCCCTTATGACGGTGCCACCTGGACCGCCGCTAGCGATGTTGACATTGACCACATGGTCCCCTTGAAGAACGCTTGGATCGTAAGTCTGCTCTGTGCGCAATGTTAGAATTAAAGGTGCATGCTAACATGGGACGACAGTCTGGTGCCGCATCGTGGACCACTGCCAAGCGTGAGTCGTTTGCCAACGATCTCACCCGCCCCCAGCTGTGGGCTGTCACGGATGAGGTCAACCAGTCCAAGAGCGACAAGAGCCCCGACTCGTGGAAGCCCCCTCTGACCAGCTTCTACTGCACCTACGCCCGCTCCTGGGTTGCGGTCAAGAGCTACTGGGCCCTCACCGTCACCTCTGCCGAGAAGACTGCCCTCACCTCCATGCTCAACACCTGCTAAGCGGAGCAACTTTGGGATGATGTTGACAAGAGCGTTTGAATTTCTTTAGCGTGTCGTGTCCAAGTGTTTCTGTTTCGGATCTGATGATCGTCAGCGACGAGGACATGATTGGGTGTTTTGTCTATACAATTTTCACTTCTTACCATTCCAAATTTTCTTCCCAAGGGGACCGCATTGATTCGAGACCGTCGGGAGGACGTGGACACACAAAGACGCAGAGGATGTGCTGGTGGATGGTCGAGGGACAGGTTCGCTTGGCGCCAATTACGAGACGACTTATGATGGATTGACCAGATTGATGCAAGGGGCGACGGGACAAGTCCATTGTTGCAGAATGTGTTTTCTCGGGCCGTGCAAAGGGGGACAAAAGATGCAGGCTGCTCCGTGTTAGTTAGTCTTTAGTCCAGCTAGGACGGAACATCCAAAAGAAATGCAAAAAGCAGATTGAAAACAATGAATAAGGATGGACCAGAGAAGCCAAGTGAAGCATCCTTAGGGACTTTGATGCAATCGGTCATTGTTCTACTCACTGGACGCCTGTAGCATATGCGCGAGGTAAATCTGATGGTGCTCGAACGGACGCATCCTACTCCCAAGATACGAGACGGCCAATCATCTTGGCGCCTCGGCTGGCGTAGATGGGCCACAATCCCCTGAGATGCAGGGCTGTGTGGCTGCTTGCAAATGTGGCTAGTCGACTGGAAATTAAAGTGGCCTCGCTTGCTTGCGCTCAAGATTGCCGAGAGTGTCTGTGTGCGTGGGTAAAGATCATGTTCGGACTTTCATGTCGGTTTAAGCGTAAGACATTGTTGACGGGGGAAAGATGTTGAGCGAGGGCTGGGAATGGGACATTGTGGATGTTGTAGGGGGTGATGGACGTCTGCAGTTGAGTGGCGACGGCGTCATGAGCGCGCCGCTGGCAGGTCGAAGCTGTCAGGAGACGAACCGGTGATGTGGTTTGCGAGGAATGAAGAGGTTGGGAGACTTTAGAGCTGAGCTGGAGAGGAAACAACATGACGAGGGCTGTGGGAGACGGAAACGGCGTCCATCTGATGATTCAAACACGAGATGGGCAGGAACCCAGCTGGATGCAGAGGGTTTGGCGTGGCAGCAACGGCGCGACCGGACACGAGCTGGACGGCAAGAACGCGGTACGTACTCCGTATCCGTCTCGACTCTGGGCAGGTTCACTGACTGAGGGAGGGAAGGTGCAGGTGCAAAGATGGGAAAGAGGGAGGAAGCTGAGGTAATCGATGTAAAAGTCCCCGCTTGCGGCAGCCACTGAGGGTCCCTGAAGCCAAACCAGCTGGCTGGGGAAAAGACGAGGGTGCACACCACCGCATGTATCTCTCCACCCATCTTTCGCAGCCAAGGTACTTAGACCCTGCATTAGCTCATCACTAGGAAGGTCCCCAGCCTCCCATCTGTTGCACTCTTTCCCGCTAAATGGCCAATAGGTGAGGAAGGTTGTGCGCCTGGCAAGCGCGGATTAGTTCGAGCGAAAAGGAAGGCGCCCAGAAATGGAAGCAGACTAAGCAGCGATTCTTCGTGTCATCTCACGCTTACTGCCCCTAATGCAGCAGGAAAGGGACACAGCCTCTCTTGTCTCTGTCTTGTTTGTAAAGTACCTTACTCAACTGTAATTCTAAGGCCCAGTGGTCTTACTTCTCCCAATGACTGAGGTGAGATGGGAGTCTCTCTCTCCTCGGTGCCCGGCTTCACCGTTGCCCGCCTGCTTTCATCTCTGCTCGTGTTCATCCTCGCCCACTTACACATACACTGACACCCCACATCAGGGTACTTTGTACATCCGTGATTCACTTTCTTCATTTTCGGTCGCCCAGAGTCCGCCAGCCTCCCGTTTACTGTTTCCCAAGCGGCGGCTTCGACCTAAACTTAGAGACACAGCGTCCGGTGCCGTCCTTTCACCATTTTCTGTTTCCTTGGCCTCCCACCTGCCCAGTGCACTAGTTCCTTTCTTCCATCCCTCTAGCCTTTCCTTAATTTCTATATTTGGGACATCTTCCTCGGATCACCGTCCGTGGTTGTTTACTCCTCTCGTGTTACCTCAACCTCACCTTACTTCTCAACGTCGATATCTACCCTTGCTCCCGCTCCCTTTCTGCAGCAAGTTTGACTTCAACGACAATCACTCACAGTCTCACCCTCGCCATCGCCCTCCTCCCCCTCACATCTCTTCCATAATCACAACTCAAGATGATGCGCTACGCAGCCTTGACTCTGGCCGCTGCTGGCCTGGCTTCTGCCCAGACCTTTTCCGCTTGCAACCCCGTCAAGGGCGACAGTATGTTCCCCTCACTTACACCAAAAGTGAATGGCGATTCTAACACAATCTTCAGCATGCCCTGCCAACACCGCTTTCGGCGGCGAAGCCAGCTATGACTTCCGCACCTCCAAGAACATGAACGACCTCGAGTCATTCTTCATCGTCGACGGCGGCATCAAGTACAACCCCAAAGTCCTGTCATTCTCCGCCGACACGGGCTGCGAGATGACCATCTTCGAGGAAAGCAACGCCCCAACCCTCACCTCAAAGAACTACCTCTTCTTCGGCAAGGTCGAAGTTGAACTGCAGGCCGCCCCCGGTCGCGGTATCGTCACTAGCATTGTCCTGCAGTCTGACGCCCTTGACGAGATCGATTGGGAGTTTGTCGGTGCCGACCAGACCCACGTCCAAACCAACTTTTACGCCCTCGGCGTCAACGACTACACCCGCGCTCGCTACTACGAGGTCCCCTTCAACCCAATGACCAGCTTTCACACCTACACCATTGAGTGGACCAAGGAGTCCATCGTCTTCTCCATTGACGGAAAGGTCTACCGCACCGCCACCCCTGCCGAGGGCAACTACCCGCAGACTCCCATGCAGCTGAAGCTCGGAACCTGGGTCGGTGGAAAGGGCACTGCCCAGGGCACCATCGACTGGGCTGGTGGTCTTGCTCAGTGGGATCAGGCTCCCTTCGCCGGTCACTACCGCTCCCTCAAGGTTTGGGACTACGCTGGTGGTGACAAGGCTGGTGCCAAGCAGTACGAGTATTCCAAGGGCTCCGACGGCAAGTGGCAGACTATCCAGATCATCGGCGCCGGCGAGAAGAGCGGCAGCCCTGGCAGTGTCGGCAACATCGCCAGCCCCAAGCCGGAAAAGTCCAGCGACAAGGACGACAAGAACAAGGCCCAGCAGTCCGATGCCCCGACACAGAGTGCTAAGAACACTACCACCGTCATCCAGACTCCCACCACCAGCGCCCCGGTCGCGTCCTTGACTGTCGCCGCCAACACCACGACCGCTCATGCTAATGGCACGTCATCAACCCTGACGAGACTGGTCTCCACCTCTGGATCCCCCACCGGATCTGTCAACGCTCAGACGACTCTCCCTTCCACAACTAGCGGCACTCCCGCTCGAACGAGCGCTCCGGCGCCCGCTGCCGCGTCCACTTTGCAGAGCAGCTTCTTCGTTGCAGGTGTCGCGGCTTTGTTCGCTGCCATGATGCTGTAGTTGGGTCGCCATCACGATCGGTCAGCTTTGCCTGCGTCTTCCATATGTGCATATGTTTCGGAAGACGGGCGTGTATGTATGTAATTATGTATAATGAAAAAGGGACAGGGGCGTATCGGCATCGGAAGCCAGGCTTGCTTATAGATTGCTCTACTAATAATACCACGTTGACTACAATCTTGTTCATTCAGTTTATGTACTTCGTAGTGATGTACGGAGAAAAAGCCTTGGCGGACGTCGGCTACCTACATGTGTCTATGTTGAATAACGTTACACAGCTGCCCGCCACTCACAACCTTTTTCACCTATGCCCAAGCCCGGGCAGCATCAAGAAAAGCCTCTTGTAGACTAACGGAGGTCCACGTGGACATACTCTGGGGAATCGAATTTGAGCCATGGATGGGTGAAGCTTAATTTCTACACGTCTCGGGCTTCGAACCCCTTTGGACTCGTTTCTATGTCTAGGTCTCTTAATTCCCCCGACCCCCACTCGAAGATGGGACGGCAGAGATGGAGATTGGATTGGGTCTTCTTACACCTTGCCATTTCAAACCTAGATAGATTGTGGACTGGAGTACCTTGCCGGAACCGAAAGTGGGTTGTCTGAGGCTATCGCGGAGTAGGTTCTAGGTAGGTAAGTACCCAACCTGGATGGGAGGTTTGATCCATGAATGTGCTGTGATTTGATGCCGTACAAATCCAGGATTTTTTTTTTTGGTATCATGGCTGGCGGACATATGTACGGCTGGGCTGGACTAAGCTTCGTCTAGGGAAACTTTGCAAACCTGACTATGTTGCATGATAGACGTGGGTTCACGATCCTGCTGGAGGGAACCAAATTTTGAAGAGCCGTTCAGGTTGTTTGAACAGCCTCCTGTCTCCGCTCTTTTTTTGTGAAAAGAATTTAAGTGTTTATGTGCCTTGGTTAAGAGTTGCTCTGTATTCATTTTTCCCTTTGGCGATAGTGGGAAGATTTGCTACTTAAACATATTGACGACCTAGTTGGGTCGATAGCAAGTCAGATATCACATCGATTCTTCCTCCTTCCTCATGTCTTTTCCTTGCCTTGATCTTTCTTATCCATCGGCGAATACCACAAGAATCACCTATTCTTTCCAAGACAATGGAGAACCGCACTACACGTCCCGCCGCCGAGGGCGAGACCATATATCCACAGCCACGATCATACGTCTCCAGTGGCTGGGAATACCAGCAACCAGGCCATCACGAGGATGGCCAATATGAGGAAGACACACCTGAGGAAGAAGATGCCGTCCTCGTAGCTCGAGGCCGATCCCCGCCGCCGGCCCATATCAACGAGGCAACAGGCCCCAGGACCTTGTTCTTCCCAGAAGCGACATCAGCCTCGCACCACAGACACGAGAACGCCCTCGCCAGCGACGGAATCCACCTCCCCCGCCTCCGTCCCGGCCTAGCACCCGTCTTGAAATGGGATTCCCCCCGCCCGCCAAAGCGAGCCCGTGATCTCCTCCACCTAGTCGACTGCCATTTTGGCCCTCCCTGGGCACGCCGCCGGATCGACGAGTACACCCCGTTCGCGCACGATGTTACCCTACGGTATTCGCAGGCCCAGGACTACTTTCGCGAGCAAGAGGCGCTATGTCCCTTGATACCACTGCCCAAATGTCGTACCGACGACTCTGTCCCCAACATCGTCCAGGACGAGCACCGCCACGTCAGAAATGCATCTTCGCGGCCGGGGCTGGCGTATCACGGTCCTCTCGTTCCGGTGCGGGAGGCGGAGTATGGCGGGTCGCCGGCTCCTCGACCTGTGCTCCAGCCTCGTTTGAACATCGACAACCTTGCGGTTCGGCCTGAGACGCATTCCTATCGCTTGCCACCCGTTTTTGAGCATGAACCTGGAGAGATCTGGGAGCTGCAGGAGGTTCAAGAGGTTCAAGAACAATCCCAGCAGACTTATACTGGGCTCTTGAACACTCCCATCTAAGCCGCTTGAAGGTCTTGTTGAGGTTAAAACACCCTCTTTCTTGATTGAACTTGCAACCGATGGGTGCGTTTCTGCTTCGGATAATTAGCTGCATGTTCGTTGGGCAAGTAGGAGGATTTGCTGCAGGGAAACGGAGTAATGGTTGGATCCAGGCTATTCGCGAGTCCTTGGACTGGTTCTATGGATGAGGTCATTTAGCTCTTGAGGCGATCAACTTCTCAAGTTCTGTATATGTACAAATCAGTACTTCCCAGTGACTGCTCGATTTCCTGCGTTGTACTCGCTTTGTAGTGACAACCATCTTCACCTACTCAGCAGACCCTTCAACTTCTCCAGCGCATCCCTCTTCACCTCGGCCACAGGCGGCTGCACATCGACGCCAACGACGTCTGGCTCGTCCGCCTGCGGCGGGTCCAAGCTCTGGAATTGGCTGTGCACCAGGTTGGATCCAGCAAAGTGGCCATGCCTATTCTTGACACGCTCGAAGAGCACCTCTTCGGGCGCGTGCAGTGTGACAAAATGGACAAATATGTCCTTCTCCGGGTGCGACGCACCGCGTAGGACGTCACGATAGGCGCGCTTGAGAGCGGAACAGGTGACGATGACACCCTGGTGGTCCCGCTCCAGTTCCTTGAGGGCCTCGTCACGGAGGGCGTCGAGCCAGCCCCAGCGGTCGTCGTCGGTGAGGGCTTCGCCTCTGTGCATCTTTTCTACGTTCTCCTTTGGGTGGTACTGTTGACCAGGCCGGAAATATGTGTCAGTGTCAGTGCGCTTGTTGGCAGACATAGAGTTGGCGGTTCATCTGAGGGAGGATGGAGGGAGGAGGGGCACAGACGTCGTCGCCTTCGATAAAGGTCATGCGTAGCGAACCTGTCAGATATTTTGCTATCGTCGTCTTGCCAGTGCCCGTAGGTCCCGTCAGAAAGACGATGTGCTGTTTCGGCCGCGACATGTTTTAACGTGGGACTGATTCAATGCCGCTAAGATTGGAATGTCTTGGAGACTCGGCCGGCGACCGGCGACGTGAACTGGAGCTTGGAGCAATGGTTTTCAATGCTGAAAACAGGGCTGACTTCAAGGTGCTCCTTGCTTTGAGCAAGATGCAAGTTGAGGCAAGGTAAGATGTGTAAAGCGGGTGGTAGAAGCGTTAGACGTCGATGCTGAAGCCAATGCGGCTACGAGTGGATGTCTCAATGGGGTAAACGTCGGGGAAAGAGAGTTCGCGACAGGAAGCAAGCTGTTCTCATCCAATTGAAGTAGAGAAGGTGAGAATGTAAGGTTCCTTCCTTTCCGAATGGTCTGATATGGGTGCTTTCCTTTTTGTGAATAAGCTCTGGTCCACACCTTCCTGCTCTTAGTGGTGGTGCAAAAGACAACGGAGTGGATGGCGTTCGGATGATGTCATGCGAAATCTAATTACCTATCGAGGCAAGTACGGAGCATCTAAGTGAGGTCGGGTAGGAAGGCACCGGATAAGTGTAGAGCAACTGCCTTACCTAAGCTAAACCAGGGAGAAGCGGAAGGACGAGGAGACTGATGGAAGGCAAGGACTGGGACGCAGCTTTCTTCTCCTCTTCTCCCATCTACAAGACCAGCCGAACAAGCATCAGACATTCCAGAACGGTATGACTACTTACGACGAGACAGAAACAGCCACAAAACCAACACTTGGACGGCCGTTGACGAAGCTTGCCAATGTCGAGATCAAGAAGAAGAGCCAATCACTCTCTACGACCGCCCCGTTTGGGTACGGTGCTTCTGGCCGTGGGTAGCGGCACGGGTAACGGCATGGAAGATCCCATCAACCATCAGACTTTTGTGGCGAGACTTTGGACACCTTGCGTCAAACTCGATCCAATCCAAGACACCCAATCAACAACCACCTTATTTCGGGGCTCATCCGTCCCTTCCGCAACTTTGAGCCGCACAATGGATGGCTTCTCGGAGAAGCGACACAAGAACATCCACGCAAGGCTCGCAAAGCGCCTGCTGCCGCCAGACAGCGCTGGCTGGACACAAAGGCTGCGCATCTATATACCAGATGGCGGCGCAGAAATTCTCAGCAATAGGTCTATTAGTCTAGTTGGTTAGGACGTCGGATTCTGATTCTCAGAACCTTCCGTAGGCCCAGGTTCGAATCCTGGATGGACCTCATCTCTTTTGCCAGTTCTCAGAAATATCCCAACCGACGACAAAATCCTCTTTTTACATCATATGTTTCCAATCACCCACGTTGGATTCCATCCGAGCGAGACCTGCTTCGTTGACTCGTTCCAACAATTCGCTTGCACCTGCGGTCCGAGACGCAAATGACGGATTTTCGGCCTGCATGCCGCGGGATCATGACAAGCGACCACGCACTGACGGGTTCTCGACTTGTGAAACGAGCACTTCATCCCCGAACATGAGAGGAACATCGTTCTCTCTATCGTTCTCTCTCTCTCCCTCTCTTGTTCGCAACTCAATAGCTGGCATTGGTCAATTGAACCATGGGCGACACTTCGTCTATTGAGGATCTACTTATCGAGGGTCCGTCTATCCGTATCGCACGTCACCAGCGCCCTCACGGAACCAGTCGTCTGCCTCCAGCGCCTCCTCTGGGCTTGCATAGCTAATGATTGTGCTCTTGGTCGTCGTGTAGGCCTGGTATGCATCGATACCGTTCTCGCTGCCAACACCGCTCGCGCTCGTTGCGCCACCCCACGGACTGCTGGGATCGTTTCGATGGTGCGTATTCACCCACACGATGCCTGCGTCGATTTCTTCAGACACTCGAAACGCTTGCGCCACGTCCCGCGTCCAGATGCCCGCTCCTAACCCGAATTCACTGTCGTTGGCGAGTGCGATGGCCTCTGATTCCGTCTTGAACGGCGCCACTACAACCACCGGCCCAAACGCTTCCTCCCGCCAGATGCGCGACTTGAGGATGTCGCCCTCGGCACGAGACACCAGCACTGTCGGTTCAAAGTAGTATCCCTTGGCAAAGTCGATTCCATCCAGGCTACTGGTTCCAGACATGCGACGACCGCCAGTAAAGGCTGCGCCTTCTGCAGCAAGCGCTTCATTCACAAGCGCCTCTACGTTTGACAATTGCTTCGCCGACACCAGCGGGCCCATCATGGATTCTTGATTGCTCGGTGAGCCCATCCGCCGGACAATGGATTCGGCCTTGGCTTTCAGCTTCTCCAACACTGACTGCATGATCCCTTCCTGGACGAGAATTCTGGTACTGGCGACGCATGTTTGTCCACTAGCAATGAAGGACCCGAATGCGATGCCATTGACTGCAACATCCACATCGGCCTGTTCGAAGACGATCAGCGGCGCTTTACCTCCCAGTTCCGCCGTGTACCGCGCCAGATTGCCGCCGACAATCGAGCCAATGGCTCTCCCAGCCACAGTGCCGCCAGTGACGTCGACTTTACGAACAAGCCGATGTTCGACGAGGGCCTTGCCAGTTGTTGCGCCGTATCCAGGAAGCACGTGGAACACTCCGTCGGGCACACCAGCTTTCTGTAAGATCTTGCCCAACAGCAGCGTCGTGAGCGGTGTCAGTTCACTCGGTTTCACCACAACACTATTTCCCGCTGCAAGGGCGGGCGCTATCTTCTTGACAGCAATCAGGAGCGGGTGGTTGAAAGGCGTGATCTGCACCACAACACCCAGCGGCACACGGTCAATCCAGTTGTGCAGCTTGCCCACAGTTGGCAGTACCGCACGCTCTTCAGTGCGCAGCAGGGCGGCATAGTATTTAAACCACTTGACCAACGTGGGCACCTGGGCGCGCATCTCGCGTATCGCGCGTCCGGTTTGGCGCACCTCGAGAGGAATCAGCGAGGGCAACTCTGCGGTGAGCAGCTCAGCCGTCTTGTCGAGAACATCGGCGCGAACATGACGGGGCGCTCTAGACCACGTTCCGGCCTTGAAGGTTTCGTGCGCCAGACGAATCGTTTCTTCAACGTCTTCTAGGGACGCTGCGTGACAGCTGCACGCATTCGGACGCCAGTCAGTCTCACCCGTGTGGGAAATAATTGCGGACGGGGCATCGAAGTTGAGGCTGAGGGCTGAGAACTTACTTGGCAAAGATCTCACCTGTCGCGGGGTCTTCGACCGGGATCCTGTTGGCGTGTGAGAGTCGAGCATCAGCACAAGTGTGAGTATGAGCATAAGCATGAGCATGAGCATGAGCTCGAGCACAGATAAGCGCCCTGCAGCCCCTCGCGCGGGGTACTGGGAAGCTTCAAAAGGTGAAGAAAGGGAAGAAAAGGTCACGAACTGCTCTGCATGACCAGGCTTCTCCTGGCCTCCCACCCAGAGGTTGTATGGCTGTCCTGTCATCTTGTCTCTTGTGTGGCTGTCACTCAGAGTTTCGTCGGTTCAAAAAGCCACCTCGCAAGGAAAGGTCGCCCGCGGCGTGCCATTTACCTTTTATTAGGGTGGTAAGCAATCCATCTGCCTTTGGTTCCAACTGCGGGGAACTATGCGGGATGCATCGATAGCCAACTCCGGCCGGCTCCGTGCTACTATGCTCCACTGTGGGCATCCATCCTCGGCCGCGATAACAGAGTCTCTCTATTCACCTTACTTTCCGGGGTTGGTTCACTTTGTCAACCTATTTCGTAACACGCGATGCAAACCACAGACAGGGATCCCCATCAAAATGCAAGATCATAACAAGCTTAGAGGCTAGGGCCAACAGTTTCGCTAGCTTTGGTCTCCCCCGCCAAGCAGAGAACGGATGGGGTAATAGTTGACATAGCCCAGCCTTGAAGGTGGAACGGCTGCAAGTGTTATACTTCAAGGGGGCACGATCTCGCTCGGCTTCTGTACGAAACGCACACACTCTCTCGACAAAGCCTGTTTCTCGGTGCTGCAGCATCTGCACAACGCAATGAACCATTTGACCAACGGTCTGCTCAGACCCTGCTTCAAACCTACGGGAAACCTCCGTACACATGCAGAGACGCCTTGGAAGCTGCTGCCATGGACTTGGGCTTAAAAATTCCGGCCAAGACGGATGGCATCTCTTATGCCATATAAGCCGGTGTCCTACAACTTGGCTCGCAGGCCTGCGACGCCAGTCATTTGGATTTCTGTTCAACGTTTGGATTGATTCGCCTTTGCCTGGTCTTGTCTTGGTCTGCGGCTGGAAGTCTTGTCAGAGCTCTCGGCAGCCAACAACGACACCGCTCATCTTCTTCCTTCTCTAATCATCATGGATTACATGCGTTCTTTCGTCGGCCGTAAGCCCAAGCGTACCCAGCTGCCAACGGTAGCTACGGACGACGTCTACCCGGTTCACTTCTTTGACGATACGAAGCCTTTTCGTGAGATGCTTCTGAACTGGACGCTTCGCTTCGACGATGTCCTCGACGCAGAGAAGCTCAATCTTTCTCTTTCTCGTTTGATCGAGATTGGCGACTGGAGAAAGCTTGGTGGTCGCATGAGGATGAGAGTAAGTGTCCCCTTGTGTGTAGAATTCGGCACTTGAACAACGCTCTGGGAAGGGGTCTTGCTAACCCGAGCAATCATCAAGCCCGACAACCAACTTGAGCTTCATGTCCCGAAGCAGTTCACACCTGCTCGCCCTGCCATTCGATTTTCCCACGATGTGCACGACTTCAGCATCAAGGAGCACAACATTGCCAAGCACCTCCCCACTACCACCTCCACCCCGTCAATCCAGCCTGGTGTCATCAACTTCTATAACCTTGGCGCTCGTCAAGACGCTCCCAAGACGCTCGAAGACCTCATGTGCTCCGATGAGCCTCAGATTGCTCTCCATGTCGTCTCTTTCAACGATGCAACCCTTGTCGGTCTCCTTTTTTCACACGTCATGTTTGGCGCCGCGGGTATGCAAGCCTTGGTGCAGGCCTGGTCGCAAGTCCTTGCCGGTCGCGAGGCAGAAGTCCCTGTTATACACGGTGCTCACAAGGACATTCTCGACGACGTCGGCGTGGACACTGATCCTGAAAAGGAGCCATACCTGCTTGACCGGCGACAGCTCAAGGGTTTCCGCCACTTCAGGTTCAGCTTACGGTTCCTCTGGGATATGTATCGTCGTCCGGAAATCGAGTCCAAAGTCCTCTGCCTGCCGGCCGACTTTGTCGCCGGCCTTCGCGCTCGCGCCATGGCAGACCTGCACGCCATGGACGAGAAGGGGCTAGGAACTGAAGAGGCGCCTTTCGTCAGTGAAGGTGACGTGCTTACGGCATGGTGGACCCGCCTTGTCTGCCTCGCTCGTGGATCTAACCGACCTGTTACTGTTCTCAACGCTGTGGATATCACTGGCCGTCTCAAGTCTGTCTTCGCCCCCGGAAAGCTGTACGTTCAGAACTTTGCCCTCGGAACCTGGACCCTCCTTAGCTCTGCCGAAGTCCTCAAAGCTCCCCTCGGATACGTCGCTCGCTGCTTCCGCCACGATATTCAGACTCAAACCACGCCTTCTCAGATCATGGCTTTCATGCGCCGTCTCCGTGCTGGAGGCCGGTGCAGTTCTCAGCCGATCTACGGAAATCCAAACAGTATGCTCATCATTTTTACCAACTGGGCGCGTTGCAAGTTCTTTGACTGCATCGACTTTTCTCCTGCTGTGATACCGCGCATTTCTGAACCGGTCACGGTCAACGGCGATATTCAAACAAATGGACACACTACTGGCAACGACCCAGAAAAGACCGCCGCCAATGCCACCGTCACGGAAGTGCTCAACCGCCCTCCTCCCGGAAAGATCGCTTATCACCACTCTCTGGCCCGAACGCGCAGTATCCTT